CCCCAAAACCCCAAAACCCCAAAACCCCAAAACCCCAAAACCCCTTATTTAGAAATTTATGTAGAAATTTTCAATAATTTAATATGCATCCAAGAAGTAGCTCCACAGATGTCTTTGCCAGAACTCTGAATCCAGAGCCATTGGAAGGAGGAGCTGTCTTTAAGACTCAAAGAGTTGGCACGAAGCCTACTACAAGAACTTATATAGGACAAGCGCCGATTCTTGGCTATGCTGATATCGTTAATGAAGAGAACAGGGTGTACCCTTTCTTCAAAAAGGATGAGAAAGTGCCTATAATAGATACTCATGTCAATAGCTATGACCCATACCATGTGCCGGTGCCTGGTGCATATGCGCCTTGGACTCCTCACCCTGGCTGTAAGCCAATTTTTCTTTCCAAATCTCTGACTTTTCATAGATGGGTGCCCGTCTCAGATAGGTCATGCTCCGTACCACTATCCTGGCTGAAACTGCCCTTCATGCTCATCAAGTGGGACTCTTAAACTGATGGAGACCAAGCTTGAAGGGCTTAAGAAAAGGAATTCCTTAATAAACGAGAAAATCGAAAAGGCCAAAGAAGCCAGAATGAAGCAAGCCAACGAAAATGAAATCAAGAAATTAGAATTATTAAAAGAGAAAATCAAGCGGTGAGTCTTGGGAATATATATTAGAAAATTTGATTGCTAAGACAACCAAGTTGATTAATCCTACTTTAGAGATAAAGAAAGACGAGCAGAGCTCCAAGCCAAGAAAGACAAGATTTTCAGTGAAGATGATATGGCTCTAATGCAACAAATGCAACTACAACAGAAGGGACTTCATAAATTGATCCAAGAATTTCGGGAAAGTAATGCTGACAAATTACTTGACGAGAACCAGCAGCTACAAGATCGGCTTTACAGACTCGAGATGGAAGACAGGAGTATTAATGACCGGGGCTATATGACTATGCCAGAACCGAAAGGTAAATCATATAATTTCTTTGCTAATCTTTTTTATAGAGATCCACAAGAAACTTAGAAAGAAGAAGAATTCTACAATAGTCTATGCTAACAATGGCAAAAAGGTTAAGAAAGATAAAGAATTTTGGAAAAGCCATAAGCCTCATTACCAAAGCATGCCTCAGATTCATTATGATCCAGGGTATGATGCGATGCTTGGGTCTCAAATGGGACGAGGTATGCCTCCTCAGGCGAACCGTGGCTCTGACAGATACACAGAGTATGTCAATGCTGATGAATATAACAACCCCAAACATGGTAACAAAATGTCTAAAGATCAAGGAGGGAACTATTTTCTGCCTCCTATTCCTAATACAGCCAGGATGAACAACATGCTTAAAAGCTATGCCGGGCCTGGCGGAAGAATGCTTGACTAATAGATCAATAATAATTTTCAATGTATTTTAGCCAGAAAGGGGTTTTGGGGTTTTGGGGTTTTGGGGTTTTGGGGTTTTGGGGTTTTGGGG